CTTGCTCCTAGTAGCGATGCCAGGAGCCCCTAGTAGGCTTCTTGTTCTTAAGCGGCTTGCCGGGCCTTGGTCTTGTCCTTCTTCTCCTGCTAGGGAAAGATACATGGAAACAATCAGGTTGGCTTGATATCCCTGCATGTGAACATTTCCTCATCTGGAACAGATCAGTAATTTGACTTGGATTGAATGCCTAGTTGCTGGTAATCAGCAGCCCGTCTACTCAAATCTAGGCGTTCGTTGCAAACGGGATCTGATTGAGACGTGAAAGCATCGGACACCCCGGGCCTCATCTGACACGAGATCATCATCGCTGCCTCAGCTGTGATCTCCATCTGTCAATGACCGCCAAACAGAATCATTCAAAACAGTAACAGGTGCATCGCTAGTAGTAACAAGTGCCTTACTAGTAGTAACAAGAAGCTAGTAGTAACAAGTGCCACGCTACTAGTAACAAGTGCTGAGAATTGGATTCACTCCGACACAAGCTCCCAACATTCTTCTTCTTCCGAGAGCTCGTCATCGTCCTCATCTTCATCACAGCCACCTCCAAAATAGTCCTGACACCAAAGAAGGATGGTGAAACACGTTTTCACCATGTGTTTCGATATGTCATGGAGTTGTCATGGTTGGATGATGTTCGGTGAGCCAACAAACAGCAACAGCACCGGCTATGGTTGTTGCTTGCGCTGTTGAGCAACGGCTGGCGGTCCTCGACATCGCTCTCTTGCCTCAGCAAAAAAACAAACACGCATAACTTAAGCATCTATGTTTCAGAAGGTACGCTGTCTCAGTTCTGAGCTTTGGTTCTACATGGCCATTAGACCTGGCAATCAGCAAGTTTGGCAAAAAATAACTGGTTGAGGCTACCATAGCCGGATCTTAAATAGTCATTACTTTGTCACAGTGTTCCTGCTTAGCAGCTTCCCTGTGATACATTACAAACTATGGAATGGTTTTAAAAGGTATGAGCTTGGTAGTAAGCAAGGACAAAACATGTGGAGTTATACCACAACGCTTGTGTTTGCTCCCAGTTGCCCATGTAGAGGGCAGCTGGGGATCGGGCGCACTGGGTTCCTGGCCAGGACACCACTGCAAAAACCCAATTTTGGCAAGCCACATGGCTTTCGCTTGGCTTTCGCTTCTTTCAGCGACGACCGGGCACACAGCGCTCAACTCTTGCTCGCGGTACCACTGGCTCGGCCAGCTTCGCCTTTTTGCCATTGGCCTCAGCATAAAATGTTTGTTGAAAGGCTGCGGTTTTGGGAGCGGGCATCTGGAATTTTGAAAGAGCCAAACTTGAAACAGCCACGCCCTAATGTCAATCATTCAACCTCGCTGAATTGATCGATCAACCCAATCAACCAATCAGTTTGCCAATCCAACAATTCATCCGCCACTGTAAATGAAACCTCGCAAGGGAGTTGCTATCACTAAAATGAATCTAAACTATCTATATAAATGAGGCAAAACGGATTCCAAGATACGAGACCTTCGTTCCAACTTGACCGAGGGGAAGCTCAACAAGGCGGTCTGCTGGATCTATATAGATGTCTGATTCCCAACATGCATGATGCATCATTGCAAACAGCGTTTCGAAACCAAAAAAAGCTGCATGACCAACTTCCAGGGAGCATAAGAACGCACATATATGAACATCAGGCTCTACGTTCACAACTCATGACATCCTTTAGCTCCGTTTGTTTTGTCGGTTTTGTTGGGAATCCTCCCGTCTGTCTTCTTACCATAGTCTGGGCGCCATGCCTTCAATTCCTCCTTCTCTTCCAACTTTGCATCTAATATTTCTTCCTTCGACTCCAACTTGGCCTCTAGCTTCGCAGCCTAACAAAGACGAAGCATCTTCCAATTCCATGAATGAAGTGTGGTGGCTGCAAACACAAAGCGCAACAGCCGGCAGATGTTCGCAGCCCGGATCTCAGTCCAGAGGTTCTGCGCATGGTAAAATGGAGAGCTGAAAGGCCAAGACCATGTCGTCAGTGAAGTGCCTCAACTTTGGCTTCGTGCTTGGCAGCTCTTCTTTGCTTCTCTTCGAGGTAGGAGTCGATATCTGTCTTGTGCCTCAAGAGACAAATCACTAACAAACCTGGCATCTCAAGAAACTTCCATGTATGTGTGTGTTTATAGTCCAATGCTGAGTTTGCAGCTGCTCAATGAGACCAAAGGCCTCATCATTGTATTGGCATCATTGGCGTCATGGCATGGTCACACATGATCCATAGCATATTCCTGTTTGTATAATGATCCTCTTTCCGAGTTTCTTGGTGATCCCCATCTGTCAAAAGGGCTCCAAACCAGCCTCTGTAAGCTTGGATATTGTACTCGACAGGGTGAAAGCGTCATCAGTAAAACACTGACCTTGCGGTAGTGTAAAGCACAAACATGCATCCAGCCTTGCCTTCATCTAGTGACAGTCTGACAGTGTAATGTGAAACAGACCTCTTGTGATACGTGTGACCAATTTCGAAGTTGAGATGAGTCTCACACAGAAAAGGACTGTGGCCATATGCCAGGCGCGCCCAAGCCTGAGGCTCTTGAAAAGTCAGTGGAAGGATTTCTACAAAAGCTACTAGTAACAAAGGGCATTGCTACTAGGAGCTTCCTTGCTCCTAGTAGCGATGCCCTTTGTTCCTACTAGCTTCTTGTTCCTAGTAGTATGGCCAGGAGCTACTAGTAGCGATGCCCTTTGTTACTAGTAGCTCCAGGATCAGGGCATCCGATGCTTGTCGTCCTGACAGAAATGTTGGAAAACGAGATTGTCGCCGCTCGGCATGTCGGCAAACGGGTGCGCGAGATGGTAAAACAAAAATGCGTCCTTCTGGAACCACTCTGAGTTGTACGTGAGGACGTACTCAAAAACCTCAGACTGAAGGCTCTTAGCCTTCGACATAAAAGACGAGTCCATCAACAAGGCTCGAGCACAAATAACATCTTGCCGGCCTTCTTTGTCCTGCCCACGTCCACAATCTACAGTGAGTTCTTCATACATCCATATTAATTACATCAATCAGTTCGGAACAAACAAACAGTGCATTGGAATCACTGATCAAATGTCCATCGGAAGAGCTGCCGCCTCTGCAAGGAACGGCAGCTTTGTGAGATCGTTGAGCACCCGAAAAATGTACTCACGGTTGTCGACATTCATGTACTCCTCATATTGTGATGCGTAAGCTCTGTGACACTGCGCAAGCTCTGAAGTCAAGTGGGCCAAAGAACACTGAATGGCCTTCGTCCACCTGTAAAGCAGCTTCACCACCTTCAAAGCAACAGGCATGTACGAGCTGGAGAGGGCCATAATACAAAATCGGCAAAGACACAAATCAAAACTTGCACAAAACATGGGGGCAATCTGGCTCATATGCCTGCATCTACTGCCCACGAATCATGGATTAATTATGTAATTGGCAGCCAAACCTTCGTCAGATAATGGTTCCTTTCTCATGGTGCGTCAACTTGATGCAGTGAAAGCCAAGCTTCTTGCCTTTGGAAACTTGGTCCTTTGTGGCAATACCGCAGCTAAACGTTGAAGACCTGGGACTTGCAAATGGTCACCAAATGGCGCAACTCCTGTTGTTCATGCTATTTGTGCGCTTCCGCGTGTCTCAACTCACATCCAGGCCTTGCAAAACATCCACGTTGGGCTTTTTGATCCTTGGAGGCCACGGCCACAAGGTTGGCGATTTCTTCGCTCCAGTGAGAGTGATACCCAACTGTGTCTCAAAAGAGCCCAAGGTCAGGTCTTCTGCATCTGCCGCCTGCGCCTTTTTTTGCTTCGTCGAAAGGTTGGGATCCTCTCCTCATGTGGTTTGAGAAGGAATGCTCACATGACTCACATGAGGCTCACATGGCTACACTTGTAGAACTTGTGGAGCATATTACATCTGGAACATACAGAACATCAAGTGTTCTGTGCTACGTTGGCTCCTTGTCACCAGGCAAGTGAAAGCGCTTCTCTCCTTTCCTGGCCTCGCAAACAGTCAATGAATTGTTGTCTGTTCATTGGCTCGTTCCCTCTTCCCTCGGCCTGCTTCAGTGTCTTCTTGACACGTCTGTCTTTCTTGATTTCTTTGGTCCTGAAATATTGCAAACACGACCTGGCATTCTTCTGAATCTCTGCATGGCTCCCATTCCATGTCTCGAGCAGGCTTTAACAAAGGCCCAAGTTCCCCACTGGTGGTTGAAGTGTTTGTCCAACCTTGTGCGTCAACGTCACTCGCATCTCAGCATAGGAGGTCGTTTCAAATCACTCAACCAATAATCTGCTGAGCGGCTCCCTTTCCTTGCGACCTCTTCCTAGGAGCTTGTAGGCTCCTTCTCCTATCCTCCAGAAACGGACAAATACATCTTGATAGCACAGCAAGGAAGTACAAAACGCAAGCGATCCAATCTCAGCCAAAGTGCTTCTTCATATTGCCTTTTACCATTTCAAAAGCCTGTCCCAGGATCTGAATCTAACCAATTGTACGCAATCCAAAACAAGCAAGTTGAACGGCTGCCTCCATTACCTTCTTGGCTTGGAACTTGTTTTTTTCTGATGCATACCTTTTGTACCTCGACTCGGTGATAATTATTGAACAACAACAGGCACCCTGTATTTTCTTTTATTCAAGCTGGTCGAGTTTCAACGTGATCTGATTGATCAACAGCAGACCTGTTGCTGGCTTTCGAATCACGGATTCTAAGGTGTGAACAGCTTTTTGGCTCTTTGACGCACTTTGTCCAAGTCACTTGGATGCTTGACCTCGGTCGAGAGCGACACAATCGCCTGCATTCAGGTTACTCGAATTGGGCTTCCGCGTCTGTCAGAGTCAGCAGGGTTGATAGTTCTGTGGATACAGCTGCCGACTTTCTGGACTACGAAGACTAGTAACAAGTCTGAGCCACTCGCCTGGCTTGCTGGGACTCCGAGAACTTTGTACGGATCCATGGCCAAAGAGGTTTTAGAGTGACAATTCGAAGGAAGCGGGCCTGATCAGAGGTAAGCTCCAGCGATTGCAGAGCAAAGTGTTTCCACTGGGAAATAATGGGTGGGTCGGGTGGCTAGCTGATGCTAGCTAGTTCAAGGCAATCGCCAGAAAGGAATGCTATCAAAATATCAGACTAGAAGATTGCAGAATGTCAAATCTAAGAGCTGGGAAATGTTGCAATGCGACACAGAAGCATAACCACCAATATCCTCAATCATATGCCAACATCGCCTTCATCCTCGATGAAACAGACTTGTTTTGGACTCTCGCAGGATCCACGTGGGTCCACCAAGCCCAGGCGCTTCCCAGCCATGATTCTTTCACGGCACCGTCAATCGTTTCAGACGGACACATGGAAGCCTCCTGGTCCTATGTACCAGATAATGTTGGTCGTTGCTGAGTGAAACAGCCACAGCTTGTTTTCACCAAATGCATGTCCCGAGTTGCCCTTTAAAATCGAGACTCGGTCAGAAGCATCCACCTTACACCTTGTTCCGCCTTTTGCCCTCACACGAAGTGCTTGTTGCCATGAGTTCCTGAAACATGAATCTAAACTGAAATTAATATGTCTCTGTCTCGAAAAGAAGCACTAAAAGCACTATGCAACCATGTAAACCAAAAAGTGTGATCAAGCTCACTGTCCATCATTATCCAGTCGTATGTCCAAGCTACCGTGCCTTATACTATACAGGTACATGTTGTCACATTGTGTTTACTTTGGATGCGAATGTGTGGAGGTGGTGTCCCGGTAGGAGGAAAGGCCATCAATTTCTTAGACTGAGCATGGCATGTTTCAGGGGCGTCCGTTGACAGTACAGTACTGGGTGGAAGCGAATGACGTTCACTGATCATTGGCCTTACTCCCGAAGACCGAAAATGGACCTGGTGAAGAAAGCTGAAGGACTATAAGCCCGCCTTTTTGATATCCGTTGGTGATGGACTCTCTTGCCCCATCGACCTGCACCAGATGGGCAAGCTCCGAACTCTTTATGTCAATACACAACTAGAAAGCTGCATCTGACAAGCGCACTGGCTTCTCCTCGGACGCCTCACCAGATTCTGCACAGCCGGAGCCAGACCGAGAAACAAAGCTGTGCATACTCATGCCAAGAAAGGCGATGAAAACACCCATTCAAGCTCATTCTCTCCAATCTGCTTGGGCTGAGTCTGTGAGGGCAGCGATGTAGCTCCCCGCTTTTGTATCAACTAAAAGGTCCACAAGCTTCACAAAGAAAGCCTCACAGTGTTGAAGCCAAAAGCCTGAGTGCCTGACTTCATGAACCTGCGGGGAAAAAAGAGTTAAACAAAAGCAAGGACATGAACTGTATGGCAGCTTTGGAGAAGGTTCAAAACAAAGCACGGCAGTCGAGTCATGCTCTTTTCACGCGCCTTCTGCAGTAACCAATTCTGTGTCTCCAGTGGTACACAGGGGTCTGTGGCCTGGAATTGCCAGGTTTGAAGACTCGGCAAGACCGACTAAATTTTAAGTAGACAGGAATGACAAGAATCATATATAAGCAAGGACAATACTAGGGGCTCCTGGCACAGCGTACAAAACCCTTGAACAATTTTCGCTTGCTGGTTCTTTGTCAGCGCAGCTTCGAGCAACAGGCGCACTACTTCCAAGCGGCCTTTCAAAGCTGCAAAATACAAAGGCGTAGAACCATCCTCTCTCGCTGTTTCTTTGTCAGCTCCAGCTTCCAGCAACAGGCGCACAACTTCCAAGTGGCCGTTCGAAGCCGCCACATCCAAACAAGTTGAGCCATCTTCTCTTGCTGCATCTTCATTGTCAGCTCCAGCTTCCAGAAACATCCGCACAACTTCCAAGTGGCCTCTTGAAGCCGCAACATGCAAAGCCCTTGAACCATCTTCTCTTGCTGCATCTTGATCAGCGGCAGCTTCCAGCAACAGGCGCACAACTTCCAAGTGGCCTTCCGCAGCTGCAAAATACAAAGCCGTTGAGCCATCTTCTCTTGCTGCATCTTTGTCAGCTCCAGCTTCCAGCAACATCCGCACAACTTCCAAGTGGCCTCTGGAAGCCGCAACATGCAAAGCTCTTGAACCATCTTTTCTTACTTTTTCTTTGTCAGCTCCAGCTTCGAGCAACAGGCGCACGACTTCCAAGTGGCCTTTCCAAGCTGCAAAATACAAAGGCGTAGAACCATCTTGAGTTGCTGATTCTTTGTCAGCTCCAGCTTCGAGCAACAGGCGCACAACTTCCAAGTGGCCTTGTGCAGCCGCACCACACAAAGCCGTTGAACCATCTCCTCTTGCTGCATCTGTGTCAGCTCCAGCTTCGAACAACATCCGCGCAACTTCCAAGTGGCCTCTGTCAGCCGCACGATGCAAAGCCGTTGAGCCATTTTTGGTTGCTGATTCTTTGTCAGCTCCAGCTTTGAGCAACAGACGCACAACTTCAAGTGGCCAGTCCAAGCCGCAGCCTGCATAGGCTGTGAGCCTGTCTCTTTTCCTGCATCTTTGTCTGCTCCAACCTCCAGCAATTGGTCAATGACTTCTAAGTGGCCATTCCCAGCTGCAAGAGCCATAGCTGAAAACCCGTCTTCTCTTGCTGCATCTTTGTCAGCTCCAGCTTCAAGCAACATTCGCACAACTTCTAAGTGGCCTTCAAAGGCGGCAATGGGGGGGGGGTAGCGCTGCGAGTGTCCCAACCTGTCGCGGGTTAAGGACACGCAAAGCCACTCGCTATTGTGGCTTGTCGATTTGGATCTTGTGGTTTCTGAAGCAGCTGCTCAAGTTTGCCTACATCATTCTCTCCACATGTTCGAAGCAATTCTTCCTCTACTGCCTCATCAGGAGCACAAAAGTCAAGAGCCTTTGCCGAAACCGCGAATATCCAATTCGTTCTGCCAGGAACTGCTTGAGGTCCCTAATCGTTTGTCCTTGTTCCACCATGACTTGGAGTTCATCTTCACTCACCTGGGCGACCATCTCGCCAGAGAGAGCTGCTGCTTTCATGTGGTCGCACGGCCAAGCAACCAGGCTGCCGTGAGGGTATCTAAGCTGCACAAAGCGAATGAAGCGGTGCCCCGTATGGGGGGGGCTAAAAAGAGTAGCATGTATATGTATAACTGTATAACTGTTTCTTGTGTTGTCCCTAACATTTGTGGCGGATGAACAGCTGAGTTCTTCCGTTAGGTCAACTCAAATGACCATTGCTATTTCGGGAAGTGACATGTCTTTTACGCAGCTCAGCCGAACCGACGGCCCAGCTCCAGACGGCTCAGACCGATGAGTGCGAGCCCGTCTCACCAAGTGAGGAAACTCTCCAATCTGGAAACCGGCCAACGAGGCAGTGGTTGGAATGGAAAGCCAGAAATGCCGTAGTTGGAATCCAGTTTGGAGTTGTAAAGACCATTTTTAATATATATAGAGCAACATGTGGGTGCCTTGGAATCAGGAAAATGTGGCACCAATCATATTATGTAGGAACAAGAAGCTACTAGGGCTCCTGGCATCGCTACTAGGAGCAAGGACGCTACTAGGGGCAAGGAGGGACATGATAGAATCAGATTAAAACGCCCCAACCTCCACTGGGAAATCCCAAATGGTCTGCCCGTAGGCTCGAAGCACCTGAGGCAACCCCAGGCAAACATTGCCAGGTAGAAGAAGGATAGCAAACTACTTCAGGCATGCCAAAAATGTCAAAGTGCCAAAAGTATCCCAAAGTCACCAACCATTCGAACAACAGCAAACTGGAACAAAAGTGAATGAAGTGATACCGGGGCTGTGCACCGACATCAGCTTTCCTTCTCGGGTCCAAATCTTGGCCATACCGTCGAAACCTCGGTTTCGACTGCTCAAGCACAAATGGATCCACCAGGTACCCCAAAAGAGAGGAATGTTGAGGCAGGTGTTGCTACTTTGTTTGAGCCCGATTCTACTTAATGAAGTAGGCCTTTACTTAATTAAGTAAGGGACTAAACACGCTACTTAAGCTACTTAAGCTACTATATATGGACGCAGGAAAGCTCACTCACTAATGATTGGGAAACCTAACTTAATTTTATATGCCAGTTGATGCCAGTTGTTTACAAGTGTGATTTGTTTGCATCAGTACCTTGAGCTTCAGGCCAGCGGTCACCACACACGGTGGGTTGCTGTAGACCTGGCATCGGCACAAACTTCACACATGATTGGACACATCTCTTTGGGCAAATTGGACTGCTCAATCCAATGCTGTTCTTCAAAAGACGGGAAACCGCCTTCAACGTCCGCAGGCTATCGCTGTGAGCTTTCCAGGAAATGCCTTGCCGCACCAACGGCTGATCCTTGGTTCTCAGAGCCGAATGACTCTCACTCCAGAATTCCCGTGGTCCAAACTCTTACTCTTTGAATTCATCAGTCTCTTCAGGAACTGTATAAGGACGCTGACAACGAGAAAAATGTGCTGAGAGATCTGCCATTTGTGCTTGCAACTCTGGCACTTCAGCAGCTTTCCGTGCCACAGTCTGTCCAGGGAATTTAGTATGGACGTTAGCTTCACTTGTGCAAGACCCTCATCCTAAATACTCCATCTTCAGCAGTTGAAGCAACAGTAGGATGCATGTGGATCCAGCACATGTACACATACACAAGTGGAACTGGTATGAGCCTCTGCTGTGTGCGATGCGTCGTTCTCCACCCTTTTGTATGGATCCCACTCTGCCTCGAATTGTTCAGGGATCAAAAACGTGTGCAGTGGCAGCATGTTGAAAGCTGCAGCAAAGGAACATCTGGAATCGGAGGGCATTTCTGAATTCCAGCAGCAGGCAACAGAGCGGACCTGCAGGTTGAGGTTCAATATAGTTAAACGCTCTGCGACGACGAGAATGCCCTGGCTTCAAAAAAGTTCAGCTGAGATTGGCACAAGTCCCAAGATCGCACTTCTCCGTCCTTTCGTGGCTAAGGCTAATTAAGGTCCAAGACGAAGTCTTGAGGTGTTGCGACGACGAGAAGTCTTGAGGTTGGAAAGCTGTCAGATCTTTCAGGCAACTCCTCATCACCGGTGTACAGCATGAAGGAGTGCTCATGGTCGTTGATCTTTGCGAATGGAACGACACGTCCCCAGCAATGGGAGGGCTTAAGCATGCGACCAAAATGGTCAAACACCAGACCAAACGCTATGAAACAGCTCCCACTGGAAATCTGCCTTCGCGAAAAAGCTCCTGAGACTCCCACTGGTGTACACACTGGATCCAGGCAGTTTACCGAAGCAGAGCTCTCCAAGGACTGCATATTGATAAAGCGTGTCCTGAAGAATCCAAAAGCGACACCACTAAGACTTAGTTCAATGATCATCCATTAGCATCTATAGAGGGGGGGCAACGGGTCCACGATATCTTTGTTGTGTGTGTAAGTACAGTATACTGTGCACACTCAAGGAGACAGCACGCAATTTTGATGCATGAAAGCAAGTGAAGTAAAGGCGGCAACTACACCTTGGATCCCCTTGGGCTCATATCTCGCACTTGCCCTGAAGCTGGTTCTTGGATAGCCTCTTGCTTTCCAAAAGTGTAGACAAGCGGCAGAACTTTGTTGGCAAACCTGCAGAGCTCAGCGTCACCAGGACTTCAAAAAAGTGAAACCAGGAGCGACAGCCCCCCGAGCCACAGCCCAAGAGCCCAGCTTGTGGTCCTTTCCTGAGATGGTCGGCAGAGCCCAGACCTCACGTCGTCACGTCGCGCCGGTCATGTCACTGGAAGACTTGGTGCGTTTGATCTGTTCTTTGTGGTGATCAGTTTGCAACGGCTCTTTGATATGTGCTTCATGGACAGGCACAAATAATCTTGTTGAATCCCTTCTCACATCTGAAATGCAGACTGCCACGTTTCCACCGAAATCGGCAGAAACCAACAAAGGATACGGCCTGGGGTGTAGGATAGAAAAAGAATGTCACACTCATTTTCAACTGACAAATTCCAAGAAAGCTGGTACATGTTTGAGGCGGAGGCTCCACAAATGCCAATGCCGTGACATCTGTCAAGCAGTAGACCCACACAAAATTGTATGATATGCCACAACAGAATCAGCTGCCGAGGGGGCAAGTGTCCGCTGCTGTATCAGTCCCCATTATGCAGAAAGTTCAACGCATTGCGCCTGTTTTATGACCGAGAAGGCATGCCAGAATTCGGAGTTTCAAGTACCTCAACCACAAAGAAAGGTCTAGCAAATGAAATGCTCATTCTTCTGTGCATCAAATGGGTATTGAGAGCTGGTAACAGGTCATACAAATGTCTCTAGGGATGGCACTCTCGAACTGCAATCACGCAATCTGTAGATCCAGTCGCGATCAGTCCCAAGTGGCGACTGATCGAAGAAGGTTGGCAGTTCAACAGATTCGCTTGCAATAAACCGAAAACAACAACGCACAACATAGTGGTGCTATCGACACAAATAACACAGTATCTGGCTAGTGCAAAGACTTGCGTTTCGTCACTTTGCCTGTAAGCCACACAGGTGATGTCGCCCTGTCGTCAAGTCAACACAAGTCGGTCTGAAGCGTCATAGAATCGGTGTACGATACAGTTGTCCATGCACGTCTACGGCAAACCAGTCTTTGACGAATCGCGAGACTTATTCGATTCGTTGCTGCGCGCCTTGTGAGAATTAGTAGCCCTTCGATGGACCACTTCCGTCTTGTTTGACTCATCGTGAACCATGATAGAGCGGTCCCAAGACCTTGAGGCAGCAAGCAAGTAAACCTTCCAGGTTGGTAAGATATGATCGGATTCCGATTCCCTCCAGTAAGTTGCTCTGTTTCTCGACTTCGTGCGGCTGAGGAAGCAACACAGTGATGATATTCTTGTCCCCTTGACAATATATCATGCCTGATACCTGACTCGGTGAATGGGTCGGGCCTCATACGCATGCAGCATGAGTTCTCTACTTCGCCCAAGTTCAGGCGCCTCTTTGGCATGATTGGTGAGCTTCTTCACCAAACAGCCAGTTGAGGAATGGTAGACCTGGACACAAAAAAAAAAAACAGGAAAAACGGGTGAAAAGGGTGAAAAGGCAGTGCCGGTTGCGTGTTAAACTGTGCATTGTTCCAACATGTTTATGTCATGAAGGTCATGAAATGTCGGCCACGCCAAGTCTCAATTGTTTGAAGAAGTTCAGTCTTGGCAAGTCCCAGGAACATGGGAACGTGGTATCTTTTGACCCCATCCTACTTAAGGTCCTCATCTGTTCCTCCGTCTCTTTCTGTTTGCTTAGACCCGGACATGGATTTTCCCAAGGTGATCTGACACGAAGAGCTTTCGCCCCCTGTCATCAAAACCTGAGGTTCCCAAGTTCCTGCCCATTTGCAACAAGTCCTGCGAAACAAAAATAACATTAAATAACCAATAAATAAAATTACTTTACTTCGAGTGATCCCCACCATGACATTTCAATCATTTGTCTTGATGCCATAGTGAGGAGCATGTTGCCATAGTCGTTAGTATTGTACTTCTCGATGTTGCTTGTGGGTCCTCGGGTTGTGTGCTGTGGTTGTGTGCTGTGTTGTGGTTGTGGTTGTGTTTGTGGTTGTGAGTTTGTGGTTGTGTGTTTGTGGTTGTGTGTTTGTGTGTTTGTGGTTGTGTGTTTGTGGTTGTGTGTTTGTGGTTGTGTGTTTGTGGTTGTGTGTTTGTGGTTGTGTTTGTGGTTGTGTGTTTGTGATTGTGTCTTTGTAGTTGTGTTTGTAGTTGTGTGTTTGTGATTGTGTCTTTGTGATTGTGTGTTTGTAGTTGTGTTTGTGGATGTGTTTGTGGTTGTGTTTGTGGTAGTGGTAGTGGTTGTGATTATGTGTTTGTAGTTGTGGTTGTGGTTGTGGTTGTGTCTTTGTGATTATGTGTTTGTAGTTGTGGTTGCGGTTTTGGTTGTGTCTTTGTGATTGTGTGTTTGTACTTGTGGTTGTGGTTGTGTTTCTGGTTGTGTTTGTGGTTGTGTGTTTGTGGTTGTGTGTTTGTGTGTTTGTGGTTGTGCGTTTGTGGTTGTGTGTTTGTGGTTGTGTTTGTGGTTGTGTGTTTGTGGTTGTGGTTGTGATTGTGTGTTTGTAGTTGTGGTTGTGGTTGCCGTTGTGTCTTTGTCATTGTGTGTTTGTAGTTGTGGTTGTGGTTGTGTCTTTGTGATTGTGTGTTTGTAGTTGTGTTTGCGGTTGTGTTTTGTAGATGTGTTTGTGGTTGTGTTTGTGGTGGTGGTGGTGGTGGTAGTGGTTGTGATTATGTGTTTGTAGTTGTGGTTGTGTTTGTGGTTGTGTGTTTGTGTGTTTGTGGTTGTGCGTTTGTGTTTGTGTGTTTGTGGTTGTGTGTTTGTGTGTTTGTGGTTGTGTGTTTGTGGTTGTGTGTTTGTGGTTGTGTGTTTGTGGTTGTGTGTTTGTGGTTGTGTCTGTGGTTGTGTGTTTGTGATTGTGTCTTTGTAGTTGTGTTTGTAGTTGTGTGTTCGTGATTGTGTTTGTAGTTGCGTGTTTGTGATTGTATTTGTGATTGTGTTTGTGATTGTGTTTGTGGTTGTGTGTTTGTGGTTGTGTGGTTGTGGTTGTGTGTTTGTGGTTTTGTGTTTGTGGTTATGTGTTTGTGATTGTGTCTTTGTAGTTGTGCTTGTAGCTGTGTGTTTGTGATTGTGTTTGTGATTGTGTTTGTGGTTGTGTGTTTGTGGTTGCGCGTTTGTGGTCGTGTGTTTGTGATTGTGTGTTTGTGGATTTTATCTGGCAAACTATCTGGTTGAGGTCCAGCAGTGCACACTGCGATCGGATCCTTGCGGTTGAGGTCCAGCGGTGCACACTGCGATCGGATCCTTGCGGTTGAGGTCCAGCGGTGCACACGGCGATCGGATCCTTGCGGTTGAGGTCCAGGCGTGCACACTGCGATCGGATCCTTGCGGTTGAGGTCCAGGGCTGCACACTGCGATCGGATCCTTGCGGTTGAGGTCCAGGGCTGCACACTGCGAGGGGATCCTTGCGGTTGAGGTCCAGGGGTGCACACTGCGATCCGGAGCTGGCCAGACAAGATCGGCGAAGCAGACTGGCGAGGAAGGAAGCAAGGAGGAACGAGGAAGGAGGAGGACGAGGAGGCGGCGGAGGCGGAGGCGGAGGCGAAGGCGGAGGCGGAGGCGGAGGAAGAACAGCTGTGATAAAATCTAACAACCCTCACCTGGCAGGTGGGGAACAAAAACTGCTCATAAGATCTCATCCGAGACTGAGAGCTGATGAGTGTTCTGGGTGTGGGACAGAAATCAGTGATCTCAGCATCCTTGTGCGTGATCACCACCTCTGCCGTCAATTCTTGGTCAACATGTCTATGATACGTTACAGACGCCACAGTATGCCAGTCACTGCACCTGCCTTGATTGCGCCAGTCACTGCCTAGGCCCAGGTCAGTGCAGCTTTCCGGAAGTGCAAGTTCTCTTGTGGCCTTGTCTTTGGAGATGCCGAGGCAAAGACATCCCAAATCTTCACTGCATTTATCGTACCACTCACAAAAACCTCGCGGCCGTCAGCAATGACTGAAGTGCAATCCAATCCGGTCCCTCCTCGTCCCTGTCATCTCCTCCAGCAACAAGAAGTCCCACTATTCCATCCACTTGATAGATCTTGATAGTGAAAAGCTATGAAATCGAATCTCTTTTCTCTAATGCAGAAGTTCCAGTGGGTAGAGTGGGACTTTCACTTTTGGAGGGTCTGATGCGTCTCCCAAATAACTTTCTCTGCCAAAATCGGCCCATGTTCGGAAATGCTGCATCAACCACTTGCACCAAGGTCTGCAGGAGTTCCACTGAACTGAGCTTCCCAAGGCCAACCTTCAGTCGCTCATTGTAGAAGACCTACATGACATGAGCCAGAAAGTGAGAGAAAGACTGAAGACTGAAGACATCTTAATTTCAAATTATTTCAATTATATTATGCAGAACCACTTTGAGCAAGCCGTCTACCTCGCCTTGATCAGGGGCTCTTCTTCAGTTTGGTCCGCAATCCCTGTATTCTGGTAGTCAAAGGCAACGAACCTTCACATGAGGCAAAGGAGCGCTGCGACAGGCCAAGAATCACAGCGCTTTGTCCAATTCAAACGTCATTGCAGCTTGGTGACTCTCTATCCACGGCAATGACCCTCTTTGAACTGGGGATGGAAACAAAGGCACGCAGAATCCTTGGCACAGAAATGTCGCGCTGGTTGAGACATGTCGCAAAATCGATGTAGACAACAGCATGCGTGAAACCACCGGAGCGTCTGTTGAGGTTGAAGCGTGATCTCATCCACGACAAAGGATTGGATCATCCTCACTGCAGCTTCTAGAATGGAATAATTCGCCGCGACAATTGCCTTTATGATCCTTTTGTTACATCATTCAAAGTCCGAGATACTTTTTTCAGAGTCGAGCTCAGAGCCAGGAGTCTTTGCGAGTTGCTAAGCTTGGTGCTGGTAGGTTCCAAGATCCCAGGTCTTCACAAAACCTTCAGAATCTGCGCTCACCACCTGAAGTCGTGTCGAGTCCCGACCTCGTGTGTCGTGGGAAACCTATTGGTCACGCATGTCCCGTGTCACTGACCTCTTGAGCCTTGTTTCTTTCGTAAAACAAAGCAAAAAACACTTGCAGATGATGCGATGATGAAGCAACCAACAGCAACTTACAGATGTCACGCCTGGTTTGAAGAGGCTCCAAGCACTTCTATGCCCACAATGGGAGCTGAGTGGCCCTGGGAGCACGAAGACATAACCAAGACGAGCAAACCATTACTGTGAACACGGAATATAGGAACACGCGTGACAGTTTAGGTCGATGAGTCTTTGGAATGGAACCTTTTGTCAAACAAGAAGGATCCATTTAAAGTGATTAATACAAAGAGTTCCGGACAAAGAGTTCTCGTTGCTCCAATAAGCTTGAGGCATGGATCGTGTGGATGGACTTACCCACATAGGGGTTCCAGACCTCAGATTCATCTACATCGACTGCGTGGTCTTCGTGGTCTCCGTGGTCTAGGTCTCCGGCGAAGAGATTGTAGTCATAACCACCCGTGACCAGGACCTTTGTCGAAGTCGCAAAGGCCATGCACCGGACCTGACATACACAACGAGGCTTATGGCCGGCATAGGTTGGAAAGGCCGGTTGCTGTGGGCCCCAAAGCCTTGCAGCTTGAAACCACGACTGGCAACAGTCGTCTTGGATTCGAACACCCATCTCATGGCCCCGAAGTGTTCGCTTCCTCATGCCCGTGAAGACCTCAGCGGCTTTGCTATACCGGCTTCTGGTTTTGCGAATGTTGAGCCATTGAGCCGTTCAGCTTTGCCGTGTAGAGCTTCAGCTAGCTGAGTATGTCCGCGCCCCGGAGTCTTCCTCTTGGCACAAATTGCTCGTACTGACCTTGCTGAGGCCACAAACGTCCCACGTCATCACCTCAAGCTCATGGGCACTTTCACAAACAAATACTCGAGCTTGAAGCAGATGGGAAATGCCTGCCTTTTTCAAAACAGTGCTGCAGTGTTCAAAGTGGTTTGCGATTTGGTCTCTCAAGATTCTCAAGTCTGCTTCTGTCTGGTTCCCATGCAAGCACTCGCCATATTTTGCTATTCAGCCAGCTTCGCTCGCTTCTCACAAGGCACGGCATCTTGCATCGCCTATCGACAATGAAGATTGCTGGTGATTCATGCAGTCCATTCATGTCCATTCACCATGGGCTACAGCCACACATGTCAAAGCAGCTCTGGCTGTCTAGAAATGCGGCAAACTCGAAACGACCCAACACAGCATAAAGACATGTTTGATGTTGTTCAAAGAAGTAAATCTAAGAACCAAATGAATAGTGCAAGCACTATCCTGCGTCCGCCACCTCATCAGCGTCGGACTGCAGAACCGGACAGCGAAAGCAAACACAGAACCTTTGCCGGAGCTCTCGAGCGAAACTCGCGGCGCATGCATCGCATGGGAACCAATGGAATTTGCAACTCGGGCGCATGTGTCGTGTGGGAGCAACGTTGCGTACCAGCCGCACGGAAACAGAAATCTGCTGACCTTGGCTTGCTGAGGCAGTTTGACATCTATTCAGAGGGATGCAAAACGGGACTGGACGGGCACCCCAAACACCACGTCTACTAGGAGCAAGGACGCTACTAGGGGCTCCTGGCCTTAATAGTAGTGACAAGAAGCTACTAGGGGCTTGGCATCGCTACTAGGAGCAAGGACGCTATTCAACAGGGTTTAGACCATAGCTATGCGATTTCATATGCTCAAGCGGGCTTGCTTCATCGAGGAAGGGCTTAATTGCCGCGAAGATTCTCTCTGCTGACAGGAAGGCCTTTGAGCACACCATTCTGTTCAAGACATCAACGTTTATGCAAACAATACTTGACCAACAGTCCCAACATTGCTTCTTGCTGTTTGATGCATCCTTTCCCAACACCTCTTGCCTCGTCCACCATTTTGCTCACTTCAGGTGATGGCAATGGCAGGCGGCCCCTCCCGGAATCTATGTAGTGCATCCGCTCCTCGTCAGTGTGGAATGATACCAAGTCCAACAAGTACGAGTATCCCTCACAAGAACACCTCTGAAAGGGACCTTAGCTCTTGAATTGCTTCTCCCTAGTATATAGCATAGCGCTCAACAAAAACACTCCGTTTCACCAATCCAGCCAGTTTGTTTCGTCAAGGTGCGGGAGTGAGCGCTAAGGCCTTCCCAAGCCGATTCAGCAGGTCAGAAACGCATCCATCAGCACCATCCGAATCCACTGCTGCATCACTGAAGGTATAGCAGCATACCTAGACGAGGCTCAAAAAATGCTAAAACGCGTGCCTGGAGAGCAAGAGATATTATGACAATTGGACCATATGTATACAGTATCTGTTTGTACGATGTTATATAGTGGACCATGTCCAAGTACTCGTGAATTCAGAAAAGCTTCTAAGGGTCTGGGCAAGCCAAACTTCACATAGTTGAGGCCACGAAAGCAATCGAGAAGTTCGACTCCAGCAGCTGGCAGATTGAAAATGGCATGCGTCACCGGATGCCTGTGATGCACAAAGACGCAGAGCTGACTCGTTTGTAGTCTCCAAACAAACCAAGCACAGTAGTCAGTCGCCACGAGTAGTCTCAAAGTCAGTCGTTCGGAAGCAAACAGTCTTTGCCTCAAAAACCAGCTTTGTCTAGACAACAGCATCTGCAGATGTCAGCCTTCACATTACCAAAGGAAACGAGGTATATGGGACTCCATATACAGAAACAGAAACCCGCCACCCCCCAACTGGCCCTCCTCTTGTTGAAGAGCTCAGGAATGAATTCCCGAGCATCGCCAGGCTTGTGACTGACCAGGAGAGAACCAACGGAAGGTGCTTGAAACTCCTCTCCGTAGCAAGGCAGCTCATCCACATCCATCACCTTGGCTTCGTGTCCCAAAGGATAGTCAGCACCAAAAGTCCTGAAAAAATTGTCCAATCTTTTGCAGTGCTATGTCTCAGGCATAAGGCAACTTGTTCAGCTCCACACTCTTGAGAAGCCAATGGATTGATGAGGGATTCAAGTCATTCGCATGACAAACCACCCCATTGGCCAGCTTCACGATGGGTATAGAAAATGGTCCAACCTCAAAAATGGGTATCGATTGGCAACCTCGACAGAACCGTTGTGGCACATACTGCGTTGGAACACAAAGGTTCAATGCTGTTGTGTGACCCCACAGGTGCAATCTGCCAGAACTGGCTGCGCTGTAGCTGTGGCTGTAGAAGGTTGGAGAAACAAGGCCTCTATCAAGCGACCATGCTCCTGCCAGGTTCCATGTTTGTGAAATGTCATATTGAAGGACCAAAGACTTTGCTCCAGGGGTCAAAGATTTCAACATTGGCGGCGAGAGATCTGACATTGATGAGGCCCACAGCTCTTTGGTTTATAGAGCTTCACGTCTCTGCAATGTCGGAAGGGCCCCCAGCGAAGCACTTCCGACATTGCAGCAGGCACTCCTCCTGCAATCGAGAGTTCCAATAGACATCTTGGTATTCGAACCTGAGCTATTTAGGATTTTCCTGTGGGGAACTCCAATCGTGAGCACATACAAATTGTGTAAATGAGCAATTCTTATGAAGCTATGAAGAGCGGATGATCAGTCTACTTGTTTCGTTGGAGGCTGTGGGTCAAACGACCAAAGTGCCTCTAGCAAACATGAGCAGAAGACCACTTATATAACCGTTTTCTCTGATCCCATGGCTTGGGAATCAGGAAGCACAACTAAAAAGGAGCTCTTCAAGAGCTGCGGACGAATCAGTCTGCCAAGTTGCTCAAAAATGCATTGATGCTCCTTCAGTCGCACAACAGTGGACTCTTCTCCAGCAAGGCGCTCCATGGGAAAGGTCCGAAACTCCTGGAAGAGGCACAAATTGAGCCAAGCTTCTTCGATAGAAGCATCTTCTTGATCCAAGACACTGTTTCAATCTTGCCCGTCTTGTTGACCACGGTCTTTACCTCTGTCTTCTCTCTTCATGACAAGCATTAAAAAAGTACTAAAAAGATCTAAAAAGCTGTCGGAACTCCAAGATCTTCCAATCGGACTCATGTGATCTTACGACGTGCAAGCTCATACGAATGAAACATCCAACATCATAACCCCTCAGATAGGTTCAAGATGGTTCAAGAATACAATTGAGTCGGCGACAGACTTGTTCTTGTCAAGGATGACTTGGCCTATGAGGTTCTTGAATGGCAGCTGCGAGTCCTCAGAGAGCACAAAGGACAAGATTCAAACGCTTCCCAAAATACTCACCCAATCTTCGGTTCAAAGCGTTCAATGCTTGCAATCCTGCCCTGTAAAGTTCTGAGCGACTAAGTCGCATTCAAGATACGCTTCAAAAAGGGATCAGTCCGGACTTTGGACAAATCATGACAAATCTCATTTGCCAAGCAGCCCGAAGATTGAGATGGGCAACATGCCCAGCTTGCTCAAACGAAGAAGGGATCTCCATACCAGCAGGCAGCAGCTTCCTCGCTGAAAGCCAAAAGGTTTGGTGCAGTTCAAAATCCAAGTGCTACTGACCTGTTCTGATTCTAGCGGAAAATAGATGAACGCCGAATAGCGGGGCCTAGTCGGTGAGGGAAGTGGTGGAACGGAGGAAAGTGGCGCAGTGGTGTGGGAGGAAGGCACAGAGTGAAAAGTCAGCGCAGTTCGCTTCAGAACTTCGCTTCAGATGACTCCTCAAGACTTCCTCTGCGGTGAAGTGTTCGTAGCCTGGTCCAAGTGCTAAAGACACTTCGGAAAGCCATTGAAAAATTGTTTTACAAAGTAAAGTACATAGAGAAACAAGACATCAAATGACATCGGTCTGTTTGAACACAAAGCTGTGACTGCGATATACCCAGGCAAGGTACCCAAAGTGACTTCGAAGGTCGAGAGCTTCACCTCAGTATCGTCTCACATGTCCTTCAGAGCTTGATCCCGGGACAGTGGAAGTAGCAAATACAGGTACGAGAAGCACAGGAAAGAAGGGCAGCACAAAGAATTCAAGCCCAGGTGTGTTATGGTTTTGTGCACATGTTGGCATGCATGGTGCTCTGAGAGGCAAACGGCACCCGAAGTGACCTGTTCTTGGAGCCATTCTTGTTCAGGAAGTTGCTTGATATCTGACACCGTCCTGGCGGATCGACGAAAAAGTAAAGGCCACCCTGTGAAGGCCGTCCTGCTTAAGGTTTCTGAAAACAAGATCCTCATGTTCCAAGAGAATTTCTACATACCTTACATCCGGAGGTGCAAGTACCATAGTTTTGCATGTAAGTATACATATCTCAAATAAACTTACAGCATTACACAAACTCATCCTTGCGTTTTTGCACAAGGAATCTCAAACACATTCTCCCTTAGTTGGCTCCTTGAGAGGAGGATCAGCTTGGAGCCACCAGAAGCAGACCTGGCAGAATCTTGCAATAGGTGCAGAAGACATATCTCGAAATCGTTCACGTCTCAAATGACCAGCTTATTTTAGCTTTGACTCTGGGTATCCAGGTCACTCAGAGTTTTGGTCTGAGAATGCATTTTTGTCAGAGGCTCAGAGGTTTGATGGAGTACTGGAGTACTCCACAAACCATGTGATCCACTCTTCTCCTGCTCCAAAACCGCACCTCCATGTAATGTTGCTGCGGCTAACCTGGGTATCCGGGCTCGACATTCTTTCTCCGCGGCAAGTTCAGCAAATGTTGTCCCAGCCTGATGAAATCAGGTAAGTGAGGCTTTCTCCACTGGAAGTCCAATCCTGTATCATCATGTCACACCCTGCTCTCTGCTGCTCTTTTGCTGCAAGCCATGCTTGCATACTTGCATGTTTTGTCGGCCTCTTCAGAAACTCACCAGTTCGCCGGGCAGGCACCTGGAGCGGGAGCCACACTCGGCTGAGCAACTGTGTGGCCGCGATGCGCCAGAAAAACTCCGCCCGGAAAACGTCATGCCACACCTCCAATGCCAGAACCTGGAAGCACTCTTCCACTTTGCTTCGATCCAGTTCCATGGCTCATTGTGGCAGCAAACGCCGGCTTTTGGAGCATATGGTTTAATGTAACAAAAAGAAGCTCCGGAGCTCATGTACAAGGCTGAACGGCAAAAATTCAAAATTGATGCTCGACCTTCATGGTGCGAGTGACCCAAAGTGGCCGGGGGTGCAATGCGTTCACCGTTCTCTGGCACTGCTGTTTTAGATGGAGTCATAATTCATATAGAATTGTTCTCAATACTTGTAGGTTGTGTGGTGCTTTCATGTCAGAAATCTGTCCCAAGCCATCATGCTGTATGGTGGACGCTCGGAGTGGCAGCGTTGAGGGATTTGTTCTATTCCCTGCCAGCTCCAGTGTCTTAACCATAGTGCATCCATGGTGCATTTCCATCAACCCCGCAGGAGGCCATTTGTTGAAGCACCTCAGCGGATTACGCAACAGAACTAGCACTGTCCAGCCAAACAAGTCCCAGGGCAGTGCTTTGTGAGTGTACAATTTCTCTCGTGCTCTATCTAAGCAGGATGCTGGAAGCTCAAGCAACTGCATGACGATATTCCTAATGTTGGTAGACTCAAGGCTGGAGTACGCAGCAAACATGAACAAACATTGAGCTGTCACATGCATGGATGCTAATCACAACTGTGGGCGCGTTGTAGGCAATTTGTATGCAACAAAACTCAGCATCCAGCTCTCCATTGTATCTGGGCGTCACCTGTAAACAAAACAATGATGTGGACTGCGGACAAGTGTAGGAAACGTTCTCATGTGCACAGCTTTGCACTAGCACAAGTTGTCTCATACAACACCCGGCCTTTGCTTTAGCCCGTGCTCTTCTCCGGTTCTCGTTTCCCTGGAACTTCTGCCGAAGCAACTATTGCGCTCCCAAACTTACTACAAAGGATGGTCAGGCAGGAATCAATGGTTCACCCTCCTGCTGTTTATTTTGCCAAGGTATAGGAGCCTCCCCTATGACTATGAGAGTTGACTGCACCCATCTGCACAAACTCTACCCAATACAATTGGGTGGAATCAAAACAGGATGAAGTCTGAGATTGCTGTTTAATCGCTCCTCGCGCCCGAAGTCCATCCTCAGGAAATGAGTACAGTAAATTTCACAAAGCATTTACACATGAGTAATGAGAGTCAACAGGCAGTGGCAGCCTTGTAAAAGAGAACAAGACTGAAACTGTGGTGGGTATGCGGTCTACGTTCAGGCACACAAATAGCGAGCAAACTCTGGAGTTTGTCTGCATGTCACTGTCCTTCTGCTCTAAGGCCAGGGCCTGCCATCTCCCATGAAGTCATCCTGGCTGCTGTCAGTGAGAACCTGGCTGGCCACCATTGGAGGGCAAACCATCTGCAAGGGAACAAAATTCTAGCCAAAGGAACGCAGGTTGGCATTAAAGATTAGGCTGGTTATTTTCTCTCCCTCCAAAGACATGTTCATCTCATCACGCATAAGACTCATCATCAGTCTTTCTTTAGTCGTAACATTTCTCCAGTGCATGGCCTTGGCCTTGCCCTTCACCTTTCTGCGGATCTGCGCTCCCTGACAAATGACAGTTGCCCAACAAACGAGGCTGACAAGTCCAAAAGTGTTTCACTTGGTCAACTTATAGATACATTTCATTATATTTCAATTTATAGATATATCCGCCGACCCCTTGCGACTGCAAGGGGAGCGCGTGAGAGAAGGTACGAGTGCTCAGGGTGTGGAGGGTTCGAGCATGGTCTGCTGTGTGGGGGCGCACGGAGCGGCCCCGGAGATGGCGCGCCAGATAGATGTGTTTTTTTACGGGATCCAAGAGCGACGTTAGACATCGACGTTAGACATGGGGGCCTGCCCTTCAAACCCCTCAATCCCCTCAAATCCCTCAAACCCCTCGAAACTTGCCAGAAGGGGCTTGCTCGAGGCTGCTCCAAAATGTTTTTTTACAGGATCCGAAAGCGACGTGAGACATCACGGCCTGCCCGTCAAACCCCGCAAGCCCCTCAAATCTCTCATCAAAATGTGTTTTTGTTTTTTTACGGGATCCAAAAGCGACGTTAGACATCGGGGCCTGCCCTTCAAACCCCTCAAGCCCCTCAAATCCCTCAAACCCCTCGAAACTTGCCAGAAGGGGCTTGCTCGAGGCTGCTCCAAAATGTTTTTTACAGGATCCGAAAGCGACGTGAGACATCAGGGCCTGCCCGTCAAACCCCGCAAACCCCTCAAATCCCTCATCAAAATGTGTTTTTTTTACGGGATCCAAAAGCGACGTTAGACATCGGGGCCTGCCCTTCAAACCCCTCAAATCCCCCAAAAGCCTCGAACCTTGCCAGAAGGGGCTTGCTCGAGGCTGCTTCAAAATGTTTTTTTACGGGATCCAAGAGCGACGTTAGACATCGGGGCCTGCCCTTCAAACCCCTCAAACCCCTCAAATCCCTCAAACCCCTCGAAACTTGCCAGAAGGGGCTTGCTCGAGGCTGCTCCAAAATGTTTTTTTAAAGGATCCGAAAGCGACGTGAGACATCAGGGCCTGCCCGTCAAACCCCGCTAACCCCTCAAATCCCTCATCAAAATGTGTTTTTGTTTTTTTACGGGATCCAAAAGCGACGTTAGACATCGGGGCCTGCCCTTCAAACCCCTCAAATCCCCCAAAAGCCTCGAACCTTGCCAGAAGGGGCTTGCTCGAGGCTGCTTCAAAATGTGTTTTTTTTTACGGGATCCAAGAGCGACGTTAGACATCGGGGCCTGCCCTTCAAACCCCTCAAACCCCTCAAATCCCTCAAACCCCTCGAAACTTGCCACTGGTTCTGCCATACTGGCCGTTGGAGCAGGCAGCTTCTGGACGCTGGAGACGCCCCAATACCTCGCACTTGCTAGACTGTGCGTGGGCTCTTGCCACTTGCTGGGCTTTGGCACACTATGTCCCTTTTTCTCGTGGTCCGCAACGGTCCCTCTGGGCTATTTCTTGCCTCTCGTCTTCTGCGCGTGCTTCTTTTGGTCTTTCACCTTTCCAGCGGTGACGTAAAACCGGTTGCCGCACACTGTCCGGTGATCAATTTGTCCCGTCGTGA